ATCCACCACTTAGGAGTCCCCACCTCCCACCACCCAGCCTTATCCCAAAGCTTTCAGGTGTGGGATCACAGGGCAGATTGGGGTCCACTGCCTAGGATTATATTCCTGGGCCTTTGGTTAGGACTACCACCTTCCTCTTTTAAATGTTGCAGCTACTTCCAGGAGGGTGGTGCAAGATGAGGCCCCTGAGCTTGACTCTCCTCCCAGAACTCAGGAGGTCCCCCCCCATCAACTTCCCACTACCCTCAACCAAAAACCCAAGGGCCAAAGTTCCTCAGGGGATGGGGCACCTCACCTGGCTTCCAGGAACACAGTGTTCAAGTGGGCTCTCTCTCTCTCTTAAATATATTTTTATTGATTTCAGAGAAGAAGGGAGAGGGAGAAAGAGATAGAAACATCAACCTGGGCATGTGCCCTGACCAGGAATTGAACCATGACCTCTTGGTTTATATCGATGCTCAACCAGTGATCAACCACTGAACCACACCAGCTGGGCTCTCTTACTCTCTCTCTCTCTATCTCTCTCTCTCTCTCTCTCTCTCTCTCTTAAACAAAACCCTTTATATTTCAGAAAATTTCAAACACATATATACAAATATAGTATAATAAGCCTCCATGTACCCATCCCCTAACTTCAACAGTTATCAACATTATTTCATTATTGTTTCGTCTCTCTCCACCCCTCCCTCATTTTGCCACCTTCTTATTTTCCTGGAGTCATTTAAAGCATACCTAATCTTCATACTAATTTAGTAATAAGTACTTTTCCATATGTATCACTAAGGGCTTTAAAGACACGGCGATACCACTATCACATCTATTAAAATTAGTAATAATTTTTATATTATCTAGTACCCAGACTGTGTTCAATTTTCCACTATTATCTCACACTATTTGTTTTGTCCAAATTGGGATCCATACAGGTGTCACACACGGCATTTGTTGATTTGTCTCTTCAGTTTCTAATCAGTGGCCGCTGACTAACCTCACCTGCGAGTTTTTACAAAACGCCCATGTCTGGGCCCTACCTGGACCAATTAGGTCAAGATCACTAGGTGAGCTGGCCTGGGTGTTAGCTTTATTTATTTTTATTTTTTTATATGTTCAGTTCCCAATGATCCTGATATGCTGCTATGCTGCCTGGGCTGGAAACCACTAGAACATACTCAAGGATTATCAACTGGCATGAGGGGTTGGTTGTGCCTCCGAGGGACAGATGACAATGCCTGGAGATGTTTTTGGTTGTCAACTTGTGAGGGGGTTGAAACCAGGGATGCTGCTTGACATCCAGGATTATAGTGCCCAGGATGGTGCCAGGACAGAATAATCCAGCCCCAAATGCCAAAGTGCCAGAGTGCTAGGCATTGGGAAATTCTGATACTGAAGCACAAACCCCACCGCCCTTGAGGGGGAGGGAGGGAGGCCTGGAGTCTGGGTGGGGAACAAATTAAACTGGATTCTTTTTTTTGTTATTTTGTTTTAATGTTGTTGTTGTTGTTTTATTGATTTCAGAGAGGAAGGGAGAGGGAGAGAAACATCAATGATGAGAGAATCATTGATCAGCTGCCTCCTGCACACCCCCTACTGGGGATTGAGCCCACAACCCGGGCATGTGTCCTTGATCGAAATCCCCATTTCTTCTTGTGGGAACCAGGGCCCAGAGACAGGCCGGTCTCATAACCAGCACCCAGCATCCGACCTGCTCACGGCTTCTCAGAAAAGGCCCTTCTCCACCTTCTGGAACAAGAATGTGAGCGGCTGTGCCCGCCATTTCGGGCTTCCCCGCACCTCTGCTGCCACCATTAGAGGAGACAAAAAGACACAGGACCCTTGGCAGCTGGTGGAAGGGACATCAGCCCCTAACCCTGCCCCCTTCTGTCCTGTTTGGGGAGGACATTTCCTGCCTGTCACTGTGGACTTCATGGGGTCAGGGGAACCAAGATATTACAACATCTGTAGGAATGACTCAAGGGGAGAACACACAGCTCGGATGCCAACTCTTTCCTGCAACCCAGTTCTTTCCTGCATTCACCAAAGAAGTGTCACTGTCCTGCTCTGTGACTCAACCCACCCCCCCCCCCCACCACCACCACCCTCTAACCCTCCAGAAGGACTCAGAACATGGGGTGTGGGAACTGGCAGGAAGAACACGTGGCAGGGGACCTCTTTTGTTCCTCCTGGCCAGCTGGGTATGTGCCTGCAGAGGCCGCCTCATGGTGGGAGCCTCCTAAGAGACCCATATGGATAAAAAGGGACTGGGAATTACTCCCAGCTGGGAGTCGCCAAAACCCTGGAGCCCGCTTAGCGCAGGGAGGCAACTCCTGACACCCCCTCTTGGGCCCACCCCCAGAGTGGGGTGCGAAAGCACGTGCAGCGAGCCAAAGGGCCAGACCCTAACCGGGGAACCCTCCCTTTCATCACCAGGGCCATCTGAAGCCCCACAGCTCCAGCGACAAGATAGAGGTGGGAGGGGGAGCACACTGCTTATGTGACCCCCGGGGCCCAGCGCAGGGGTGTGGGGAGATGGGGAGCCTCCCACTTCTCCTCTTCCCTCTCCGCAGCCAGGCGCTGGGGTCCACTCAAGCATGGCCACCCGGTATGGTGGAAGGCAGCACCCCTTTTCACCATCCCGGACTGGGATGCACAGCTGTAGGCAGCTTGGCACCCAGAGCAGGGGAGGGCGCACTGTGGAGAGCCCCCATTGGACCGCCGCCCAAGCTTTCCCCGGCTTCCCTCCGGGTTTGGCCAGAGGAAACTGAGGCGGGAAGGGGAGCCCGGGATGCTCAAGGCGCGGGCGGGCGTGTCCCAGGCACTCTCCCCCAGCGGGGGTGGGGGGAAGGCGGGCGAGTCCCGCTCCGCCCCGCGCCGCCCCAGCTTCTGGCCAGTGCGATCCGGCGCCCGCGGGCAGGGCGGGGCTGCAGTCAGCACCGCCCCGAGGGGCCGTCCGGGGCGGAACGGCCCCCCAGCGCCCTCCCCGGCCCAGGCCATGACCCCCGCTGCTCTCTCTTGCAGGCTGGTTGCCGCGACCACCCGAGTCCGGCCGCCACCAGCGCCCGGACGGGCCCCGCGCGCCCCGTGTGCGGCTCCGCAGTGAGCCCACCCAAAAGCGGTGAGTGCCCCGCCGTGCGCGCCCCGGGGTCTGGCCCGCGCTGCCCACACTACTCCCCGCCCCCCCTTCCAGGAGACGCCGCTCTTCCCGGGTGCCGCAACCCCGTTGGGCGGCGTACACGCCCCGCAAGCTCTGGCGGCTGGGGGGCGGGGGGCGCCCCGGGAAGGGTAGGGGCCCCTGGTGGGTCCGGGAGTCCCCCTAACTTCTAGCAGACTTTTCTGCGGAGAAGCGGTTTTGGGGAAAGTTGGGCCCTCTCTGGCCGTGTTGCAACTTACACCGGAGGGTGGGGGTGTGTCCCTGCGCGTGGAACCTCTGGCCCCCACTCTTCACCTGACACTCCGCGCTGTCACGAGTTCCTTGGGAAGGGACCAGACCGTCGTCATTCCTCAAAGCTGGAAAGGAGCCCGGCCGGGGTGGGGGCAGGAGGCCTCGAGAGGAACCATTTCCCCTCTATCGAGTATTTCAAAATATATTATTTATGAACCGCCTCACTTAGGGGCCCCCTCGCTTCCAGGGCTTCAAAGCGGGTTGCAACCGCAAAGGGCGACCGGTGCGAACGCACGAGCGACTTCTGGCCCACTGAGCTCAGCGGAACTGGGGGGAGGCACCCTTTACAGGGGGACCCACAGCTCTGCTCCGCTGGCCCTGGGGTAGTGGGGACTTCTCTCAGGCTGCCCCTGACTGGCTGTTAGGCCTGATCGAATGGAGAGAAAAGTCTGAGCAGCCCTGCGTCATTGAGAAAGAGGAGTTGAAAGGCGGCTCTGGGGTGGGGGCTGGGGGTGGGCAGGGAGGGTGGTTTTCACTTAAAAGGGGGATACACCTATGGCAGGCAGCCTTGATGTGGAATCATTCACTATGTTCTGGATGTAGGTTATTCAATAAACACAGATTGGTCCCCCCATCATCCCCCCCCCAAAAAAAGAAAGGCAGCACGCCCCCCCTCCCCCCCCCCCCAGGAAGGCACTTAGGAGATAGCAGCCTTGGTGGGAAACTCCCCGTCCCACAGAGAGGCACACCTGAAGGCGAAGGCTCTGGCTTCCCTGCCCAGCTCCCAGGAGTGCATGGGAGACCCTGTTTCTAGCTGGATTAACTCAAGAAAACACCCCCTTACCTGTCCAGGCCACACCCACCTTGGATTCTGTGTCCCTACCCCTGGGTACTGTTTCTTCTGGATGGGAGGGAGGCAGTGTATTTATGGAAAGACTTAATCCCTCTGCCAGCTCCAAGGAGGCTGAAAGCTCTGATGCCTAATCTCTGCTCCCTGGAAGCCCTTCTCTTGCTGGTGGGGTCCTTGAGCCCCAGGTTTAGATAAACTCTGGACGCTTGAAATGGGAACTCCCCTAAGTGGACAGCGGAACACTGGTATTTATTGTTTACTGAGAACTTGCCGTGTCCCAGGCCCTGCACTAAGTGCTGGTGCCCAGCACCTGCCTGCTCTCTTTTCATCCTCTGACCCAGCGGTTCTCAACCTGTGGGTCGCGACCCCTTTGGGGGTCGAACGACCCTTTCACAGGGATCGCCTAAGACTATCGGAAAACACATATATAATTACATATTTTTTTTGTGATTAATCACTATGCTTTAATTATGTTCAATTTGTAACAATGAAATTGGGGGTCACCACAAAATGAGGAACTGTATTAAAGGGTCGCGGCATTAGGAAGGTTGAGAACCACTGCTCTGACCAAATAGTTATATTCCCATTTTACAGATGAGACACAGAGGCCTGTAAAGGTAAAATGACCTAAGGTCACGGGTGGGTAAGTGGCAAGCCCAGGCCTTGAACCCCTAATCCTCACATTGAGTTGCTCTTGAATAGAGCAGGGGCTAGGCCAGGCCTCTGAGACCACCAAGTGTACCCCCCCCATTAAAAGGTTAAGGTATAATATACATACAGTAATATGTACACATCAGAAGCGTACATCCAGATCAAGAGACAGAATTTCCCCAGGAACCTCACCTTGCCCCTTGCAGCCCCATCTCCCCTTGGAGCCAGTGGGTGGTTGTGTCTCCCACAGGCAGTGCCACATCGTAGTTACTTTTTATTTGGTGCAAAGAACACATTAGTTTAATCTTTGCACTGAAAACCCACAGGGAGTGAGCTGGCAAGCACTCGGGGGCTGTGGGCTGTAGTTTGTGACTTCTGTCTTCAAGGCTGCTATAAAAACAATTACATGCTTTTAAATGAACCCTCTGGTTAATTAATCATTAACCTAACTTCTAATAGCATACTCCTGATTCTTAAATGAACATTTCTATTGACATATGATGTGGAAAGGTGCACAAATCATCAGCATTGAGCTTGACCACGCGGAGGCCTAACGTAGCAGTGGGCAAGTACTTTGCTCAAAGTTACTTGGCCAATCAGTGGGAGGCCAAGGCCGGACCCCAGGTGGCCCAAGACCCTGCCTGGTGACAGAAGCAGCTGAGCATTTCAGTGGGCACCCTGCCCCTGCCCTTACCCCCACCCTTTTTCACTTCCTCTGGTGAGTCCCTGTGGGCCCGGCAGCTGCCCTGCCTCCCCAAGAGGAGCTCACAGCCTCCTGCAGGTCCATGGGCTAAAGCCAGGAAGATGCTCATGTTTGCACTCTGTGTACCAGGATAGAAGGCATGTTAACGCTTGTAGCATCTGTTCCCAGCACAGTCCCTTTGGCTGGAATTACAGGAATTCTAATCCTGTGGCAAAAAAGAAAATGCCTTTTCTAAAGAAGAAAGGACACCAAGATTTGCCATGTGCCTACTCGGGAGCCGGCCATGGCCCTTTAGTGCCTTCTTCCCTGTGTTTGCTGTAAGGAAATGCTCTGAGAGCTTGCCCAGAGCCTCCCAGCAGGGAGTGGAACCTGGTTCCGTCCTGTCTGCTGGGTCCACCCACCTAGGCAAACAGTCACATTCCTCAACTGTGATTCTTCACCCCTGCCCTGGGTCCTCAAGTGAGGTCTTTGTTACGGAGGTAAGGCGAGGCACCATGGTGAGTCATGACCTCCAAAGCGTTATTCTGATTTCATCTGGGAGGTGGCTGTACAGAGACCAAGAAAGATCAGACAGCCTGACCCTGCCTTTCACTCACTTTCTCTCTCCGGGCCTTCATGGCCTCATCTGAGAAACCCAGGTATTAGAAATAAGACAAACGCTGTATAGGGTTGCCAGATTTAGCAAATAAAAATATAAGATGTGCCCTGGTTGGAGTGGCTCAGTTGGTTGGAGCGTCGTCCCATTCACCGGAAGGTCACTGGTTCAATTCCCGGTCAGGGCACATATCCAGGTTGCAGGTTCAATCCCTAGTTGGGGCACATATTTAGGTTTCGAGTTCAATCTCTGGACAGGGTGTATACTGGAGGCAACTGATTGGTGCTTCTCTCTTTCCCTTCCTCTCTCTAAAATCAATTTTTAAAAAATAAATTAAAAAAACCATGTCCTCAGGTGAAGATTAAAAAAATAAGAAAATGCAAGATGCTCACCCTGGCTGGTGTAGCTCAGTGGTTAGAGTGTCTCCTGCATACCAGAGGGTCTTGTGTTTACTTCCGGTCAAGGGCACCTACCTGTATTTGAGTTTCAATCCCCGGCCCCGGTTGGTGCAGGAGGCAAACTCAATGGAAAAAAATATCCTTGTGTGAGGATTAACCAAAAAAAAATACAAGATGCTCAGTTAAAGTTGAATTGCAGATAAATGATGACTAATTTCCAGTATGAATATGTCCCATGAAGTAATTGGGCATCCTGTATTTTATCTGGCAACCTATCTATAGCCACTTCCAGGTCTAGATTTGTGACTCACTCCAGGAAGATTTATCTCACATTCTAGAGACCAACAGTCACGATCCACAAAAGTAGTAACTGAAGGGAATCAGCAGATTTCGGTGCCAGAATTGCAAAGCCAGGGTCGCTCCGGCCAGTGAGTGGCTCTTGAGTCTCCCACAGGCAGTGCTACACCTTAATTACGTTTTACTCTGTGCAAAGAGCACATGAGTTTACTTTTCTCTTTGCATTGAAAACCTGCAGGCGGTGAGCTGGGTGAGCTGGCAAGCACTCACGGCCGTGGGCTGGTAGTTTATGGCTTCTATCTTCAAGGCTGCTGTAAAAACAATAACAGACAGCTTGGCCCAGTGTGTCCTCTCCCCTGGAGATGTTCACGGCTTTCGAGAGGGCTGTGTGGTGTGCAAAGCAGCAGATATCCATCTATCTCACCACGCTCAGAGGAGGGGCGGGCCCCTGCAGGAGGAAGTGAGTTTTTATCATTGTCTGTCACCAGAGAGGATCCTGTCACCGCCATCGGTCTGGAGGGAGATTTTTATGCTGGGTGCAAGAAAGAACCTGTTCTACTTCAGGCTGTTGTGCAAATAATTAACAATCTGATATTTTGAAGGGAACATAAACAGAGCCTGATTCAATATGAAAGGGAGGTTTTCACACTCCTGCAAACGTGTGAAAGAGAAAGAACGGTTATACCTAAGCAGTCCTCTGGACCTGACTGAGCTCGTACCGTCTTGCCACGCTAAGGGCCCCCTCCCATTAAATCTTCATTTTCCAATTATGAACGGTGTGTCTTTGTAACAAATTCATATGATGAAATGTGTTGCATGTAGAATGATATTGCCCTGAAGCGTGCGGCCAAATCGGCCTAGCTTGGGTGGTCGGCCTCCCAGAGCTATGGCTTATTAGCACCTGACTCCTCGTAGCTCCAACCCCAGTGAGGTTGCTCTCTGGGGGTGCTGTGAGGGTCCAGTGGGATCATTTCCATCATGAACTCAGCCCAGGGCTTGGCCTCTTATTTTTATACATATATTTATTTTATTGATTTCAGAGAGTAAGGGAGAGAGAGAGATAGAAACATCAATGATGAGAGAGAAGCATTAATTGGCTGCCTCCTGCATGCTCCCTACTTGTGGGGGGTGGGGGGATGGAGCCCACAACCCAGGCATGTGCCCTTGGCTGGAATCGAATCTGGGACCCTTGAGTCCGCAGGCCGACGCTCTGTCCGCTGAGCCAAACTGGCCAGGGCA